GGAACACGGCGAGAGGAACGCGCGGAGCAAAGGTAAGTGAATTGACACAGGGGGGACTTGGGGACTTAATATGGGGGATGAATTAATATGGGGAATGAATTACTATAGGGGGGATGAATTACTATGGGGGATGAATTACTATATGGGGGATGAATTACTATGGGGACACATGAATTACTATATGGGGGGCCCCCGGGTACTATATGGGGAATGAATTACTATGGGGGCAATTACTATGGGGGATGAATTACTATGGGGGATGAATTACTATGGGGGATGAATTACTATATGGGGGACCAGAATTACTATAGGGGGGAGAATTACTATAGGGGGGGCTGAATTACTATGGGGGATGAATTACTATGGGGGATGAATTACTATGGGGGATGAATTACTATATGGGGGATGAATTACTATATGGGGGATGAATTACTATGGGGGATGAATTACTATAGCTGGGGGATGGGATGAATTACTATATGGGGAATGAATTACTATAGAGGGATTAATTACTATATTGGGGATGAATTACTATGGGGGATGAATTACTATGGGGGATGAATTACTATCACGGGGGGGTTGAATTACTATATGGGGGATTAAAGGGTTAACGCTATAGGGGGGATGAATTACTATAGGGGGATGAAATTACTATGGGGGATGAATTACTACAATGGGGGATGAATTACTGTATGGGGGATGAATTACTAAGGGGGATGAATTACTATGGGGGATGAATTACTATATGGGGGATGAATTACTATGGGGAGCCGAATTACTATATGGGGGATGAATTACTATGCTTACTATGGGGGAATATTACTATACTTACTATGGATGACACATACACATCATTCATCTACTCTTGGTCCGGCCCCCGGGTCCAATATATGAACCCATTGCGGCCCTCAAGTCAAAAAGTTTGCCTACCCCTGGCCTAGATCCTAGTGGTATTGATCACTGATACAAATATACAGTGTACGTATAGGGCCAGATTAAGACCTTGGGAGGCCCAGGGCCCTTTAGGTTCAGGGGGGCCCTCATACACAGAGTTGGTTTGCATACTCAGTGACACTCATTTTTTTAAAATGCATGACACAACGTCATTCTGAGATCATGCGTTTACACACACACACGCAGTTATAGCGCTCTATGTGTGTTTTTGCTGAGCTGACAAAATCCATTTTTAAAAAACGATGCCATATACCAGTCCATAGAAAAACTTTTACAGATGCTGTCCAATAAAATATTACTTCCCAAGATACATTTAATAAAAAATATTTTTTGTTATACATTTTATATTATTTTATGATTGTTTTTAATTTTTATTTATTTTATATCATTTTGTTATACTGGTTTAGATTATTTTTGTATGGGGGGCTTCTATCAGGGGGCCCAGGGCAGTTACCCCTTTTGCCTGCTTATAAATCCAGCACTGTATAAATATTGTATGCACATTTTTTATCATCACATGTCTTGTAAGAAAGCTGTGTGAGTTATATGGCTCCCCGTCTTGTTAAATAAATGCCCAAATAAAGACAAGGTGCACAGCGGGCCGTACGTCTTCCGCTGGAACTCCGGGTTACGGCTTAGACACCATCACAACAGGGCAGAAAGTTTACAAGCTGACAAATCTGCAATTCCACAAGATTTCTGTCTTTTAATAAAATGCCCCGTATTCCACCACTCAGACTGGGCCACAGGACCAGATTTATTGCTCGTGTGTGTGACTGCGACAGCAAATCATAACATTAGCGTGTTTTATATGTTCATCTGCCTACATAAGTAAACATTTAATTTATAGAGTACAAGACAAACACAGGATATGGGAGCTTAATCTATAGCTATCTGTATGACAACGATATTGTAAGGACAATAAATTTACAAAAGCGCTCAATACTTCACTGGCTGCATGCTTGGTTCAGTTCAGCAGCTCCCTATCACTAAGCTGTAAAGCAAAACTAAAAATAACTCCCATATTTTGACCCTGACAGGTTCTCTTTGAAAATAATTACAGCTGAACTTCAGGCAAATAGCTAAATACACAGATGAAATACATATATGAGAGGTGTTATACCTGGCAAAGAATTTGTATTTCTGTCCATCTTGTCCTGAGATTTACATAGCACAACCCTGTCTAGAAGGGAGGGACCTAACCTTTTTTAGCTGCAGTTCAATTGGACAATAAAGGAGAAGCAGAAGACTGATGAGCTCATCTGTCATACTCTGCTCTCTCCTCCCATCAGCATGCTCTACGCACTGCTGCGCAATTGACAGGCTTTTTGTGCTGCTTCTCCCTCCACTCTCTGAGTTCTGCTGTACAGTAGACTGTAAACCAGCTGATACCAAGTCAAATTCAGGTACTTACACTGCTTGTTGCAAACAAAAAATAAATATACTTAAGGATGCATTAATGATTATAGAGCTGCATTTATTGTATATATACTGCAGCACATTTTGTTGTAATACTAACCTTCAATCAGGAGCTATTATCCACAGCAATATATTTTTGCCATTAGGTTTTTCCAGCCTTCCAGGCTCATATATATATATATATATATATATATATATATATATATATATATATATATATATATATACATACATACAGTGTATATACACGGCTCAAAAAAATTAAAGGAACACTTTTTAATCAGAGTCTAGAATCAAGTCAATTAATCTCCTGGGATATTGTTCTGGTCAGGTAAGTAGCAGAGGGGGTTCTATCAGTTTCAGCTGCTCTGGTGTTAATGAAATTAACAACAGGTGCACTAGATGGGCAACAATGAGACGACCCCCAAAACAGGAATGGTTTTACAGGTGGAGGCTACTGACATTGGCTTCTCTACTCATCTTTTCTGATTGTTCTTCACTAGTTTTGCATTTGGCTAGAGTCAGTGTCACTACTGGTAGCATGAGGCCATATCTGGACCCTACAGAGGTTGCACAGGCAGTCCAACTCCTCCAGGATGGCACATCAATACGTGCCATTGCCAGAAGGTTTGCTGTGTCTCCTCCCAGCACAGTCTCAAGAGCATGGAGGAGATTCCAGGAGACAGGCAGTTACTCTAGGAGAGCTGGACAGGGCCATAAAAGGTCCTTAACCCATCAGCAGGACCGGTATCTGCTGTTTTGTGCAAGGAGGAACAGGATGAGCACTGCCTGAGCCCTACAAAATGACCTCCAGCAGGCCACTGATGTGAATGTCTCTGACCAAACAATCAGAAAAAGACTTCATGAGGGTGGCCTGAGGGCCTGACATCCTCTAGTGGGCCCTGTGCTCACTGCCCGGCACCATAGAGCTCGATGGCATTTGCCATTGAACACCAGAATTGGCAGGTCCACTACTGGTGTCCTGTGCTTTTCACAGATGAGAGCAGGTTCACTCTGAGCACATGAGACAGACGTGAAAGGGTCTGGAGAAGCCGTGGAGAACATTATGCTGCCTGTAACATAGTTCAGCATGACCGTTTTGGTGGTGGGTCAGTGATGGTCTGGGGGGGCATATCCATGGAGGGACGCACAGACCTCTACAGCCTAGACAATGGCACCCTAACTACCATTAGGTAGTGGGATGAAATCCTTGGACCCATTATCAAAACCTGCACTGGTGCAGTGGGTCCTGGGTTCCTCCTGGTGCAGACAATGCCCGGCCTCATGTGGGGAGAGTATGCAGGCAGTTCCTGGAGGATGAAGGAACTGATACCATTGAATGGCCCCCACACTCTCCTGACCTAAATCCAATAGAACACCTCTGGGATATCATGTTTCTGTCCATCCAACGCCGCCAGGTTGCACCTCAGACTGTCCAGGAGCTCAGTGATGCCCTGGTCCAGATCTGGGGGGAAATACCCCAGGACACCATCTGTCGTCTCATTAGGAGCATGCTCCGACGTTGTCAGGCATGCATACAAGCACGTGGGGGCCATACACACTACTGAGGACCATTCTGAGTTGCTGCAAATGAAGTTTCAGCAAAATGGACTCGCCTGCTGCATCATTTTTTCACTTTGATTTTCGGGTGTCTGTGAATTCAGTCCTCTGTAGGTCGATCATTTTAATTTCCATCAAACGATGGAGCATCCTTACGTTCCTAACACATTACTCCATCCATATCAGTATAGAGATCCAGCAGGAGATTTGTCCCCATTAAGATCTGATGGGTTGTCAAAGTGTGTGTGTATATATATATATATAATTAGTTTTTTATGTAAATAATTCTGACCACCACTGTGACACACAAGTGAAATAAAAAAAAGTTAAACAGAGCCATTTTCAGTGTTAAAATAATAGTTCAATTTGTGTTCCTATCAGATAGAATGGTTATAGCCCCGGTTTTATTTTTGCTATCTATGTCCCATTGGGTAGATTTCCTTATTGTCCCATAGCCAAAAAAATAAAAAAGGTGAGAGGAAATCCCTCCAAAGTGAGGGAATTCCTGTGTGTCACCAGAACTAGTGTCCCCATTGGAAAATTCACCCTCTATTCTGGTGACAACCCAAAATTCGGGGTTTTTTCTATACTATCACTTTCAGTGATAATGGTAAACAGGACAAATAGCGAAGGTGAATCTCCCTCATGGGGCACAGACAGCAATAAAAACCTGACAAGGGTTCTAATCCCTCAACTCTATCCAAGACTGAAAAAAACTTTTCCCTTAAAGTTTAAACCCACAACAATGTATGTCTGTATATGCAGTAAAGCATGCTTGTTGTACTCACTGTGGAACCTAAGGGGTTAATCCTCTGCATTATGTTAATAGGATCTTTGATCCAGTCTCCTCTGATCTTCCTTTTCTTCCAGTGTCTCCTAAATATCTTCTGATAGAACAGAGGCTTGGGGGCAAGCTGCACATGCTCAGTTTGGTATGTATTGCTAGAGTTTTTTTGTCTTGGGAGAGTGCATGTGATTAGTACAGGTCCAATCAGCTTTAACTAGTACTCTGCTGGACACTGATAGAAGTCACAAGACTGCTATATACTGCTGATGTGAAAAGGTATTTAGCAGTTTATATTTACTAAAATAATTGCATTTCCATGTTCTGTATACTGTGGGAGACCAGATATAGTGAATGCAGGGTCCGGGGAGACCAGATATAGTGAATGCAGGGTGCGGGGAGACCAGATATAGTGAATGCAGGAACCGGGGAGACCAGATATAGTGAATGCAGGGTCCGGGGAGACCAGATATAGTGAATGCAGGGTCCGGGGAGACCAGATATAGTGAATGCAGGGTTCGGGGAGACCGGATATAGTGAATGCGGGGTCTGGGGAGACCAGATATAGTGAATGCAGGGTCCGGGGAGACCGGATATAGTGATTTCAGGGTCCGGGGAGGCCGGATATAGTGAATGCAGGGTCCGGGGAGACCAGATATAGGGAATGCAGGGTCCGGGGAGACCAGATATAGGGAATGCAGGGTCCGGGGAGACCGGATATAGTAAATGCAGGGTCCGGGGAGACCAGATATAGTGAATGCAGGGTCCGGGGAGACCAGATATAGTGAATGCAGGGTCCGGGGAGACCAGATATAGTGAATGCAGGGTCCAGGGAGACCAGATATAGTGAATGCAGGGTCCTGGGAGACCAGATATAGTGAATGCAGGGTTCGGGAGACCGGATATAGTGAATGCGGGGTCCGGGAGACCAGATATAGTGAATGCAGGGTCCGGGGAGACCGGATATAGTGATTTCAGGGTCCGGGGAGGCCGGATATAGTGAATGCAGGGTCCGGGGAGACCAGATATAGGGAATGCAGGGTCCGGGGAGACCAGATATAGTGAATGCAGGGTCCAGGGAGACCAGATATAGTGAATGCAGGGTCCTGGGAGACCAGATATAGTGAATGCAGGGTTCGGGGAGACCGGATATAGTGAATGCGGGGTCCGGGGAGACCAGATATAGTGAATGCAGGGTCCCTCGGGGAGACCGGATATAGTGATTTCAGGGTCCGGGGAGGCCGGATATAGTGAATGCAGGGTCCGGGGAGACCAGATATAGGGAATGCAGGGTCCGGGGAGACCAGATATAGGGAATGCAGGGTCCGGGGAGACCAGATATAGTGAATGCAGGGTCCGGGGAGACCGGATATAGTAAATGCAGGGTCCGGGGAGACCGGATATAGTGAATGCAGGGTCCGGGGAGACCGGATATAGTGAATGCAGGGTCCGGGGAGACCAGGATATAGTGAATGCAGGGTCCGGGGAGACCGGATATAGTGAATGCAGGGTCCGGGGAGACCAGATATAGTGAATGCAGGGTCCGGGGAGACCAGATATAGTGAATGCAGGGTTCGGGGAGACCAGATATAGTGAATGCAGGGTCTGGAGAAAGCGGATATAGTGAATGCAGAGTCTGGGGAGAGTGGATATGGGGAATGCAGGGTCCTGGGTTTAGTAACACTTTAAGTTATATTTTAAGGTGTCCATACATGTTGCAATTTGCATACTTGATTTCTCCAATCAATCAATGTTCTTTTTATTTGTATGAAAAATTTACCAGTTTGTAATATTACCTTAATAAAGTAGTTATAAAGGCAGGTTTTTTTTACCTTAATACATTCTGTACATTAGGGTAAAAACCCTTCTGGGTGCAGCTCTCCCCTCAGCCCCCCTTATACTTAGCTGAGCCCGATCTCGATCCAGCAATGTGCATGAGAGCTAGGTCTCTCTTTCCTCATTGGCTCATGCAGCAGCAGGAGCCATTGGCATATTGAGCTAAAAATTAAATGTTGGGAGAAATGCTGTCAACAATTTTAACAATTTGTCAATTTGGGCATTGAATCCCATGGAACCCATGGCTTTTGTTTGTCAATAGCTTGCTTTTTAGCCTTAGGTGCTCTTTAGTTTTTTTTAAAATTTTTTTTTACTTTCCTTTAACCTCTTGCAGCCCACTTAATGTATATGTGTGGTGGCAAATAGTATGATCTTGAATGCTTACATGCCACACATACATGTTCATGGACAGCTGAGGCTTCTGTACTTAGAGCTTCTGATCTTTGGTAAGGATTGACAAGCAGTGGGAAAGGCTCACCAGATCATGTGACCCCTGTGACAGCCAAGCACAATCCCCCAGGCGTACAGGCCCATTTAATGGAGTCTGGAGTTGGGCGGGAAGGAGGTATTGGTAGCAGGGGCGGACTGATCATTTGGAAACTCGGGCACTGCCCGAGGGCCCGGGGTCAGTAATGGGCCCCATGAGATGCCCCTGGTACCTTTTTCATAGGCTTTTTTGAGTTTGGGCAAGGACACAGGGGCCCCATGATCCCCTATTGCCCAGGGGCCCATTAGTTGTCAGTCCGCCCCTGATTGGTAGCCATGTGCACAGATTTTATTCCTATATGCTATGTTCATATAAAGATACCAGCAGCAGTTAGACCCGAAAGCAGTAGAGAAAATGATATTTTTTATTTTAGCCATGCCTAGGAAGCATAAGCTCAGACAATTGAGTATACGCTGTAAATTCCACAGAAGATACATTATTACATTATCATTACATTATTATTATTTTGTTATATATATATATACAGTATAAAAGCATAAAAAGAAATGTCTTTATGGTGCAAGTAGTGTATGGTTAACCTCCTTATAGCAAAGAAAAAACCCTGGGATCAGGGGTGTATTTACCACAAGGCAAACAAGGCATTTGCCTAGGGCGGCATTATTTAGGGTGAGCACTGCCCCCTGGAAGAAGGGACATATGCGGCATGGGAACCAGGTAGGATCTGAGAGAGGCTTCGGGCTGCAGAGCCCAACTGTTGTTCCTGGACATGTCCAGAGCTGTGAAGGTGCGTGTCTTTCTCTCTGTCGCCGTTGGGGGGGGGGGGGGGTGTTAGTGGAAGGCTCTCTCGTTTGGGGGGGGTGTGGGGCAGGGGTGTTGTTGGTCATTGTCAGGCTCTCTCCGCGGGGGTGGGGGGTGTCTGGTGTTCGTTGGTGTTAGGCTCTCTCTCTGCCGAGGAGGGGGGGGTGTCCTATTTTTGGGTTGCCTAGGGCAGCACAAATCCTAAATACATCACTGCCTGGGATGCATAACATGAGTCCAATAAAATAGTCTTTATCAGGTACAGTATGTCAGAGGTAGACTCCTGTAAGCTTTCTTTTACAAGATGAAGCTCCTCTAGAGAAATGGACAAAATCTCCGAATCAAGACAAAGAAACACACTCAATAAAATATTATTTAAAAAAGAAATAAAAATTAATGCAGCGCATGCATCAAAAAATAAAAATTAACATTCAAAATTAATAAACACATATAAAAGTCCAAATGATTCAGTCCATTCTTGTGATCACCACGTGAAAATAATTCATTGACATAAATCACTTCGATCCTACAACCAATCACCACGTGAATAATTACACAAAAACTCTGCGTCATGCTCCCCTCTCCGGTGTGCACTCACCAAACTAAATTTTTTAGTGCAGTTTTTTGAGGGATTTACACCTTATTTTAAAGAAACACACACGGCTAAGAGCGCTATGTAAGTGCAGTATTAAAACATTTATTTATACAAGAAAACTTATTCCTGCGCCAAAACTTTCCAAATAACACTCTAAAAATGCTGCTGTGCCAATCGTGAAAACACAAACAAAATAAATATAAATAAACAGCGCAAATTTAGATAATTAATCAATATAATAAATCATATAAAATAGGTGCATAAATTATTCGTGTTTGCCCTTAATCTTAAACAAAAACACCCAAAAGTCCATGTGCTGAAAACATAATTAAATTGTAGAAATAAAAGTGCCAACTTCTTTTCTTCAGAAAATACTTTCACCTTCCACCAGTGCACAAACCAACATCGAATACACTCACCAGAACTTGGTGAGTAAAGGACCTTTAAGGAATTTTTAGGGATCCTAAACCCTCTTTGTTGCCACGCTAGGGAAAATCTTCACCCTCCGAATAGACTCCACCATCCAACCAAAAGAAAAAAACTCACATAGCATAATATTGTCACACAATAGGAACTTTTTCCAAATGGAGATTAAGGCCACTCACATGTTAAACACTTGCTAAAGGCATGTTTATTATGTATAAAAGGCTTCAGTTCCAGCAGATATACAAACTTTTCCTTCCAGGACTCTCACATCCACAGTGGAACAAAGACAGGACTCCTTTTAGACCAAACAGTGAACCAAGATGGCCGCTGGAACGCACCGCTCAGCGTGCGTTCCACTCACCGGAAATGACGTCAGGCGCATGAAGTGTGGACCGGAAATGCGTCCAAAACATTTATTGTATGATAAAAACAAATTGGCAACTCATGTGAAGTACGTTTGTGGAGGTATGTAAAGCATAAGAAATTAGGACATCCATCTCAGAGCACTTACTGGTAGGGAGGAGACTCCAGAGGAACCCAATGAATGATGTCAGGTGCTAGGGGACATCCTGGGGTGAGGCTTCATGTATCAAGGCATGACATCGGGCGTTTAGTTTCTCTGGAGTCTCCTCCTGACCAGTAAGTGCTCTGAGCTTTCTATGCCTACCTGGCTGGCGGCAGCATCCCACAATCCCTGGACTAAATGCCTCTGCTCAAGGGTTCCCTTGATGTCCTGATTTCTTATGCCTTACATGCCTCCACAAACTTACTTTATGTGAGTTGCCAATTTGTTGTTATCATACAATAAATGTTTTAATGCACCTAGATGGTGGCCTCTGCTGTGTGTCTTGTTTTAATATGGTAAATAACATACCATAACTATAAATTATTATTTTATATAATGATAATATTATATAATTAATTATATGTATGCATTAAATCTCATGATGGATCTCTATACTGATATGGACGGGGTAATGTGTTAGGAATGTAAGGACGCCCCATCGTTTGATGGAAATGAAAATTATCAACCTACAGAGGACTGAATTCAAAGACACCTCGAAAATCAAAAGTGAAAAAATGATGCAGCAGGCTAGTCCATTTTGCTGAAATTTTATTGCAACAACTCAAAATGGTCCTCAGTAGTTTGTATGGCCCCCATGTGCTTCTATGCATGGCTGACAATGTCGGGGGCATGCTCCTAATGAGACAGCAGATGGTGTCCCTGGGGTATTTCCTCCCAGATCTGGACCAGGGCATCACTGAGCTCCTGGACAGTCTGAGGTGCAACCTGGCGGCGTCAGATGGACCCAAACATGATATCCCAGAGGTGTTCTATTGGATTTAGGTCAGGCGAGCGTGGGGGCCATTCAATGGTTTCAGTTCCTTCATCCTCCAGGAACTGCCTGTATACTCTCCTCACATGAGGCCGGGCATTGTTGTGTACCAAGAGTAACCCAGGACCCACTGCTAGAGCATAGGGTCTGACAATGGATCCAATGATTTCATCCAGATACCTAATGGCAGTCAGGGTGCCATTGTCTAGCCTGTAGAGGTATGTGTGTCCCTCCATGGATATGCCTCCCCAGACCATCAATGACCCACCACCAAAACGGTCATGCTGAACTATGTTACAGGCAGCAGAATGTTCTCCACGGCTTCTCCAGACCCTTTCACGTCTGCCACATGTGCTCAGGGTGAACCTGCTCTCATCTGTTAAAAGCAAATGGCAAATGCCAATTGATGGTGCCGGGCAGTGAGCACAGGGCCCACTAGAGGACGTCGGGCCCTCAGGCCACCCTCATGAAGTCTGTTTCTGATTGTTTGGTCAGAGACAATCACACCAGTGGCCTGCTGGAGGTCATTTTGTCGGACTCTGGCAGTGCTCATCCTGTCCCTCCTTGCACAAAGGAGCAGATACCAGTTCTGCTGATGGATTAAGGACCCTCTATGTCCCTGCCCAGCTCTCCTAGAGTAACTGCCTGTCTCCTGGAATCTCCTCCATGCTCTTGAGACTGTGCTGGGAGGCACAGCAAACCTTCTGGCAATGGTAGATGTGCCATCCTGGAGGAGTTGGGCTGTCTATGCAACCTCTGTAGATTCCAGGTAACGCCTCATACTACCAGTAGTGACACTGACCCTAGCCAAATGCCAAACTAATGAAAAACAGTCAGAAAAGATGAGTAGGGAAAAAATGTCAATGGCCCACCTGTAAAACCATTTCTGTTTTGGGGGTTGTCTCATTGTTGCCCATCTAGTGCACCTGTTGTTAATTTTATTAACACCAAAGCAGCTGAAACTGATTAACAACCCCCTCTGCTACTTAACTGACCAGATCAATATACCAGGAGTTTCATTGATTTGATATAGACTCTGATTAAAAAGTGTTCCTTTCATTTTTTTTTCAACAGTGTAGAGATAGATAGATGGATAGATAGATAGATGGATAGATAGATAGATGGAT